TCGCCTAGCAAATGGCTTACCTCTACTATCTATGGTCATGAAGTTGGGGGTGATTATTGTCTGAGAGTCTCACTGTGATAACAAGCACGCCCAATTGGCATGCAGTTCTGGGTTTTACAAACTGATATCTAAATGAAACGAGCACTAGATCTGTAGCTTTCTTTGAGAACGTGCGTTGCACGAAACATGTCAGAAAGCTACCCCTCAGTGACTTTCTATCCACGTGGACATTTCCTGTCTGGACATAAAGCTTTTTGCATATCATGTGAGTTGCATTTTTATCATTTCTCTGCACCTAAATAAAGCAATGTTGCACTTAGATATTTTTGTTTTTTGGCTCTTTTTCTCTTGAGCCAATTTTCCCCAAGGGAATTGTTGAACACTCTCCAGAGCCCTATGTCCCTCTGGTGGTCTGTGAACACATCATACACTGCGGGATACTTGGTCTGAAGAGATCCTGGTTGCTGGCTCCCTCTGGTGGTCCCCAATCAGAACTCTGCCTTGCTGACATGCTGTGATATATGCTGCTGCTAGTCAAACACCCGGGTCCAGATGTGCATACCCAGATGACCTCATCATCTATATGCGCTTAATAAAGTGCTATCTGGTTAGTGCAGCACACTCATTTTTCACCACTGATGTCACGAATATTGTTCGTTCGCTATATATAGACTGTCACCTATCATCACGTTTTCATTTGGAATTGAATTTATGAACTTATCTATGTACAGTGACTCATAATTGTGTGTAACTATACACAATCTTGCATTTATATATGCGTAATATCATTTTTGGAGTACTATACATATTTCTGCATTTATATTTGCTTAATATCTGGAGATTGGTTATCCCCCTCGGATGTGTGTTACCTGGATGTTACTGGCCTGATGACCCTTCACGCTGCAGTGTTCCAGATCCAGATGACCAGGAGTTGGTCTTAATATACTCCAATGCACAAGAGATTCTGCTATCTGGTTAGTGTAATCCACATCCATTTTCACAGCAACAGGAGTCACGGATTTTTCACCAGATTACTACCATTGGATAGATTGACTTTGTTACTAATGTCACTTTATGCACCTTTGACGTTTTATACATGAGATTGTTTTACATTATTGATCTCAGCGCCATTGAGCGCTGTTCACACTGGGTTCGTTTTCAATTTATTGAGCGTTTCAGGAGGTTGGTCCTGAGACTTTCCCCTGAGGAGGAATAGCGTTCCAGTGGGATTTTATTCTGGCACTGGATTTCCTTGTCAGGACTCTGCACCAACAGTACTAACTTTAGGCGATAACTTCAGGGGACATAGTTTTGGATCTGCAAGCACTTCAGGCTACAGAGTATTACACCTTCCTTCCGAACAAGTTGGGGACTATGACCCTCGAGCACCTTTTTGTTCCCAGGTGGCTTTCAATTTCATCTTACAAACTGATGAGTCCATCCTTTCCGGCACAGACAGTACCTAACCTACACAAGCTGCATGTACCAGGTGTGTAAGATGCCTACCTTCAAGCTGCTTCCTAGTTTAAATCCTCCAGGAGGCTGTTCGTGTTTCCATCAGGCAAATTTGGAGGAGGAAGCTGCAGCGAACCTTTTTATCTTAAAATCAGAAATAGTGTTGCGCTCCACTACCAATTGCAAAAATGTGAATAAATGAATATTAAATAGTCCAGCATATTACATATCAATATCTCTGCAATTATATTACTGCTGCAAACGTGTCCTTATTAAGTCCGTAACATTTTGACTTTTAGTGCTGTGATACGAAATAATAACCGTGCAGTTTGCCAATTATAAGAAATTATTCACCTTCACTGGTTGTGCTCTCACCTGGTGTATATCACCAGACCGTTAAGTGAGGTCATAAAAGGCTTGTGCCCCTTTTAATTGGACTTGTTGGTAAATGGATGGGAATGATCTCTTTCCCTGGGATGGATGGACGGAGTGTTCCCTCTTTCCAGCAGGGGATTTCCTTGCTTCCATATGGGTTTTCCTGGAGCCGGATGGATGGGCGGGAATATCCCTCTTTCCACTAAGGGGTCTTCTTGCTTCCCTATGGATTTTTCTCCATAGGTATAATGGCCATGGAATGTAATAAAAGAATATAGTGCCTTATCCTCTTTTAAAATATTTATTAAATATAGTAGTGCACTCATAGGTGTTACAAGTTAAAAACGCTTTAAAATGTTAAGATTTGAATCCAAAGTAAAGTTTTCCAATACTGATGAATACTTGCTGTATGTTGCTTTAAGCGTCGTGATGTCAGAGCCCCTCCCCTATGCATTATGCCACTGGGTCACGTGGCTTTATCAGGGGAAAGCGACACTAATTTCTGCTTTTATTCTCTGACACAATGATATGAGTATGTATATAGTGTAAGCGAACCACTATTTTTCACAGTTTTTATACACCATCTTTTATTTTCACTATTGTATTGATTTTACCACAATTTTATTATTTATAATATTTTAAATATTTATTAGCACTTAGCTTACACCATAGTAGCTCACAAGACCCCACACTTTAAACCGCATGCCGCCCAGCCACTGTACATATACGGCGGCAGGGCGGCACTCAGAGGCAAAACCACATTTTAAGGGCGACGTGTGTTTTGTAAACAAATAGGGGGCGCGCGCCCGCCCTATTTGTCCCACGGATCATCGCCGCAGATGTCAGTCGCCGGGTCACAGCCGCTCCTTAGCGGCTATGTCCCGGCGATCGGCAGCAAACAGTGACAGACAGCACAGCTGCAGTAGCTGTGCTGTCTGTCACTTCCCTGTCAGCTCGAGGGTGAGCTGATCGAGAAAGAAGAGTTTCTCTTTCTCGATCAGCCTTGTCCCATGCAGCACACACACCCCCCCCCCTAGTAAAACACTCCCCCTCACTCCTATAACCCTTCCCTGCAAAATAGTTAACCCCTTCCTCCCCATTGCCATTAGTACAGTGTCAGTTTTTTTTTTTGTTTGCACTGATCACTGTATTAGTGTTTTTGGGGATGTCCGTGACCCCAAGTCAGTACCCCCCAATGTCAGAATGTCCGCCGCAGTCCCGCCATAAGTCCCTGATCGCCGCCATAATTCGCTTATCACCGCCATTATTAGTATAAAAAAAAACCCTAAAAATCCCAGTATCTTTCCCGCCATTTGTAAACGCTATAACTTTCACGTAAACCAATTAATTTACACGTATTGTTTTTTTTTTTTTTTTTTTTTTTTAGCAAAGACGTGTCGCAGAATGCATTTTGGCAGAAATTTATGACTAAATTTGATTTTTTGCATTTTTTTTTTTTTTTACTGCACGTTTTATAGCAAAAAGTCCAAAATATATTGTTTTTTTCCCTCAAAATTGTCAGCCTTTTTTTTTTTATAGTGCAAAAAATAAAAACTGCACAGGCGATCAAATACCACCAAAAGTAAGCTCAATTTGTGGGGAAAAAAAGGATGTAAATTTCATTTATGTACCGTATTGCATGACTGCGCAATTGTCCGTTTAGCGCAGCGCTGTATAGCAGAAAAATGGCGTAAGTTGCAGTATTTATACCATAGTTTGTAGACGCTATAACTTTCACACAAAGCAATCAATATACACTCATTGGGATTTTTTTTTACCAAAAACATGTAGCAGAATACATTTTGGCCTAAATTTATAACCAACTTTGAGTTTACTATATATTTTTTATAGCTGAAAGTAAAAAATATTGTTTTTTCTTCAAAAATTTTGGCCTTTGTTTATAGCGTGAAAAATAAAAAGTGCACAGATGATCAAATACCACCGAAAGAAAGCTCTATTTGTGTGAAAAAAAAGGATGTAAATTTCGTTTGGGTGCAGCATTGCATGACCACGCAATTATCAGTTGAATTAGTGCAGCGCCGAGTAGCAAAAAGAGGCCTGGTCATTAAATCCTCTGGAGCTCAAGTGGTTAATAAACCTTTTTATCTTGGAGTGTCAAGGTCATCCTGAAAAAATGCAGTGTGGCCAAGCAAGAGCCTCCCAGAAGTGGTAGAGGCTCATTCAGGGTCCATCTTTGTTCAGGGCAGCGCATGCAAAGTGTCTATGGAGACTTTTGCAAAGCAGCAGGCTTATTGCCACAGTACATCTGCCTCAGGTGCTACACAGGGAAGATCCAGGGGCTTGTATGTCAATGGACTTCAACAGAATGGTAGTCTAGGTTTCCATGTCCATTGTATTAAAATATGATTATACAGTTTAGCTCTCCCTGTTTAGCTTATTTATCACATGTATGCTGCCTTGTTGGCGTCAGGTAAACGGAAAAGTGTATCAAATACTTACCGTAATTTTCTTTTCCTGAAGTATTGGATAAAATTTTCCATTTCTTTTTTTTTGTTTCAACCAGAGGTTTGACCTATGAAAAGGGAAATAAAAACAGATTCCCCCATCCATACTTTTTGATGTAGATGGAGGAATGCTTCCCACTGAGTTTATTGTATTCTGACAGCTTGGAGCCTTCGCTTCAATCAGAATACAGTGATCAGTGTTGCTGGCTATAGCCCTCGGAACTGATCAATCAGGAAAAACCTGACAGGCCGGTTGTACACAAGTCCGTCAGTAGATCACGTATAGCTGCCTTTATGAAAGTGCCAGCCAGACCACAACCTCGGAACCAATAGTCTGAGGTGCCCCGTGCAAAGTTTGCAATCCAAGATGCTACCATGTATGACTGCAGAAGAATTTTGCAGTTTGTTTCCAAAAAGGAACATTTGCCATTGAGGAACACAGGATTTTAGGAATTCTTAGTGAGATTTTTACTGCTGCCTACAGGAGGTTGGGACACTTGCAAGCAAATAACTTTAAAGGGTCAGTTCACATTTTATGAAAATGTTACGTCCATATTTAAGATGTAGAATGTTAGTAATGCAACAGCCCAGCTCACCTTCTGATCGCCCCATTGTGGCAGCAGACAGGGGGTCTTCTCTCCACCCGCCGTCCTAATAAACAGCATGTTTTCTAACAATTGTTTTTTTTTTTTTTTTTTTTTGTGCAGGATGATGATGATGATTGCTCAGCTGCAACATTTGAGAAAAAACCAGGATATCATGCACCTGTCGCTTTGCTTAACGATATCCCTCAGTCATCTGAACAAGTAAGTATTATAGATACATAGTTGATGAAGACTGGGCCTGCTCTGACACTTTTGTCACTATGTAAAAATCTGTATTTTTAGCTAGAAAATTACTTGGAACCCCCAAACATATATATTTTTTAAAGCAGAGGCCCTAGATGATAAACACCGAGCAATTGAATACCAAACATGTCACTCTTTAAAATTGCATAACGGCTACAGACTGCGTAAATTTTATAATCCATAGGTGACACTTTAAAAGCCTTTACAGGTGTCCACTTTAGATTTACACAGGAGGTCTGATGCTAGAATTACTGCCCTCGATCTTCTTCTTTTTTTTTTTTTTTTTTTTTTTTAATTGAAATATTTATTAGTTTTCCATATAAAAAAAACAAGATATTTCATCAATAATCTCATATAACATACAAAAACCTTAATTATATCCCCTTCTATCTTTTATATCCATTCCCTCTTCCCCCCGCCCACTCTGCATTTCTCCCTTACATCTTTCCCTAGGTACAGGGTATCTTCACATGTCACTTCCTATTGCTTCATATACATTCGTTTTATGCACAAAATCTTCCCATTTTCCCCATTTCCTATAATATAGCCCCATCTTGTCTCTTGCGTGTAGTACAATTTCTCCATCCTACATATGATTCACTCTCTCTACCCAGTCCTTTTCTCTCGGCACCTCTGAACTATGCCAAAACTTAGGTATCGGGCCCTTTGCCGCATTCACATAGTACCATATACCCAAGTCCTTGTATTTATTCACTGGTAGATCTGTATTATGTAGTAGACACACTTCTGGATCCAATCCTATCTTTATCCCAGAAATTTTCCTTATTAAATTAACCATTATCTCCCAAAAGCCTTGAATCTTTGGGCACTCCCACCATATGTGATACCACGTACCCATCTTTCCACACCCCCGCCAACACTCTGGTGTTCTTTCCCCACACATTTTATATTCAACGTTTGGTGTAATGTGCCATCTTGTCAAACACTTATAATTTTACCTCTACCTCTCTCATACTTACATACTTACATTTTCGTGTGTGAGTCTATATATTTTCCTCTGTTTATCCTCATCTATCTCTATTCCCAAATCCCTTTCCCATTTTACTATATACATTGGTTTTATATGCGTGACTAACTCAGTGAGTAAATTTTTGCCGTGCCCCGTCTCCCATCTCCCCGTGATTCCAACAACCTCTCAAACAAATTCCAATCCTTTCTCACTCTCAGGGGTTTTCGGAAGACACTCAACGAAGTGTTTTAATTGATGATATTTCCACTCATCTATCTTAATAAAAAGTTCTCTTTTATCCTTCTTTAAATCCTTAAGTGTTCTCAATTCCTGCCCATCCATTATATCCCTTAATTGAATATCCTCCTTTATAAACCATTTTCCTACACTCCCCTCCTTACCTGGTGGAAAATACTCCATATTCCTCAATGACACTAATTGTGAGTTAAAATCCCATTTCATACACTTGTGCAAATTATCCCAAAACCTTTAAAACATTTAATGTATACACACTCGTGGTATCTTTTAAACCTCTGTATTGTGCGGGAACCCGTATGCTTCTACTCAAATTTAACTCCACTTAATTCATTTTAAATCTTGACCCACCGTTTCCCCTCTGGGTTGTGTGTCCAATCATAAATTCTTGCTAAAACTACTGCACTATAGTACCTCCTTGAAATCTGGCACTCCCAATCCTCCCCTCTTTACTTCTACTCATCAAATCATAAGATATTCTAGGTTTATTTTTCCATATATATCTTATCTTTTTTTTTAATTACTTTAAAAAAAAAAAAACCTCAGGGAGTCTAATTGGGATCATCTGAAATTTATACAGGATTTTAGGTACAATTACCATTTTTATCAGATTTATACGCCCTAACCAAGACGGGTTACCTCTTCCCAATTTCTTCAATTCCTCCTTAATCTCATTTAGTAGTGTAATATAATTTAATTTATACAAATTTGTATATGAAGCAGTACGTTTAACCCCTAAATATTTTATCTCTCTCTATATTTCCATATGAAAGGGAATTTTTTGTATATCTTTTCTTTCTCACTATTTGGAAGATTTACATTTAAGATCTTGGTGTTTGTTGGGTTGATTTTCAGATTTGATAACTCCCCATACTCCTTTAAGCTCTTCATTAAATTTGGGAGTGTTATCCTTAGATTTCCCACATAGAACAATAGGTCGTCCGCAAAAGCTGCTACTTTGTTCAATTTCTCCTATCTGTGTTCCTTTTTTATATCCACGTTTTTCCTAATCGTTGCCAGCAAAGGTTCCAATGACAACACACATAACAATGGGGGACAGTGGGCATCCTGTCTTGTTCCATTTGACATCCGAATAGGCTCTGACTTTTCTCCGTTAACCAAAATAACCGCGGAGGGTTCTCTGTACAATTTTCCTATCCACTCCCTCATTCTAGCTCCCACTCCTATAATCTCCAGGGTATCCATCATAAAGCTCCAGTTTACTCTATCGAATGCCTTTTCAGCATCGATCGAGAGCACCACTGCCGGGGTTTTCCCCTTCCTAGCTTTCTGGATAAGCAACAGAGTTCTGATCCCATTGTCTCTACCGTCCCTCCCTGGTACAAATCCCACCTGGTCCCCCTGGATCCATTCCGGCATTAAATCTTTCATCCTATTTGCTAAGACCTTTGCATATAACTTCGTATCTATGTTCAAAAGTGAGATTGGTCTATAGCTAGAGCACTGAGAAGCATCCTTCCCTTCCTTATGAATAAGCACCACATGGGCCTGTAGGGATTCTAGCCTTACCTCCATCTCCCCCCCCCCCCCCCCCCCCCCCCCCCCCCAGGGCGTTCATATAATCCTTCAATTTAGGTATTAATAATTCACTATATTTTTTTTATAGTACCTCACAGTATAACCGTCTGGGCCTGGGCTTTTCCCTGTCATGGTGCTTTTCAATGCTATTTTTATTTCCTCCTGCGTGATTTCTGAATCCAGGGACTTCAATAGATCTTCATTTAACTTCGGTAGTCCTGTGTTTTTTAAATATATCCTTTTTTCTCTACTCACGTTTCCACTTTTATGATTTACTGAATCCTGAGAGTTAATATTATACAGCTTGCTATAGTATTCCTTAAACACCTTAATGATCTCTTTAGTAGAGTAAGCCATTTCTCCCTTGGGGTTTCTTATTTTTTCTATATAATTCCTATTTTTCTTTTTCCTCAGGGGTCTCATTAAATATTTTCATGGCCTATCTCCCCATCTATACCTCTCCCTTGCCACTTTTTTAAATACTCTTCTCCTCTCTTCTTCCATCAATACCTCCAATTCTTCCTTCTTTTTTTGTTACCTTCTGTCTTATCTCCCTTGTTCTATTTTTATGGATCTGCTCCTGGTCATATATTTCTTTTAAGAGGCCCGTCAGTTTCTCTCTTCTTTCCCTTTTCTTTTTTGCCCCGGACGCAATCCGTATACCTCTTATGTATGCCTTATAGGACTCCCAAACTGTAGCCACTGACACATCCCCTGTCTCATTTTCCTGAAAAAATCTTTCCATCTCCTCCCTAATCTTCTGATCAATCTCCTGGTCCAGTAGAAAAGCCTCATTTAGCTTCCATCCTACCCCACCTGTCTGTTGCCTCCCCCACCCTACTTTCATTGTAACGGGCATGGTCTGAGAGAGTCATTGCCTCTATTTCTACTTTACCCTCTCAATAAGTTGATGATCTACCATTATATAGTCCAATCTCGAATACATCTCATGTGCATTAGAGAAGAAGGTTTAGTCTCTCTTTTCCATGCATTATTCTCCAAATATCCACCAGTTGACACTCATGCATCACCTTCTTTAAGGTTCTCAGAGACCCACCTCCCTCTCGCTGCACAAAAGAGGTCGTATCCATCTGTGGATCCAAACAGAGGTTCAAATCCCCCACCACTATCAACCGTCCCTTTTTTAAAGGCCATCAGTTTTCTTAATACCCCTTTCAGGTATACCTCTGGTCTCTTATTTGGGCAATAGATATTCGCTATTGTACATTCCATCTCTTGCAATCTACCTCTCAAACAAAAATCTCCCCTCGGATCTATTTCTCTCTCCTCCAACTCCAACCTTATGTTTTTAGCAAACCCTATTGCCACTCCCTTAGCTCTCTTAATTGGGGAATCTGCGTAAAACCATGTTGGATAGTTTTTAGTGTTCAACTTAATATTTGACTTAATCTCAAGATGTGTCTCTTGCAAGAAGACTACCGAAGCTTCTCTATGTTGTAATTCTTTAAATAACTTAAATCTCTTCCCAGGACAGTTCAACCCATTTACGTTATATGTTATAAACCGTATATCCTCCATACTTTCTTGTATACTTCTCCTCCTTATGCAGAGTGTTTTTAATACCTCCCCCCCATTCGCTCCTAATCCCCCTCCCCTAGTACTCTCCCTCCCCTCTCTCCTCCCCTCTCTCCTCGCTCCTAATCCCCCTCCCAATGACCTCCCCCCCCATTCCCCTCACCCCTCCGCCCTACTAGGCCTACTGTTGCCTTCAAATCAGTTGTGGCCCTAATGCCACTTTTGATTCCAACCTTGGGGTTGAGCTCTGCCCATGGACAGCTCACCTTTGCCCCCGCAACCCCCCCCCCCCCCCCCCATACACCCGATGTCCCCCTTTCTGTCAATTCTCTATTTCTCCTAACTGGCTGCCATTCCTCTTTTCCCACAGCACATATCTCTCCTCCTTCTTCCTCCTCCCATCCTGGAATCTCTATTCCCTGGATATTAAATAAAAGTCTCTTAATTCATCCGGGAATCTCAGAGATGCAGAAACTCCATTCTTCCATCCAATTAGGCACGCCGAGCTACCCCATCTATATATTGTATATTCTATTTTTTCATCTGTTCTAATAGTGGTTTCAGCGATCTTTCTCCACAATGTGTCTACAGTCAGATCCACAAAAACCTGTATATTTTTTCCTCCATGTGTAATACTTGTTCTTCCTTTTATCTTCTT